CGAAGGGCTGCCATACTGCTGTACTTGAGATAGATTTGATTGAACGGGAAGAATAGACACACTCCTTCAAAAACTCAAGTATCAGAAGTCAATCCAGCAATGGCGCGAGAGAGATTTATCGGGCCATTGCTTCAGGAATATTGGGCAGAAAAGTTGAGCGTTAACTCCATTTCATTTCTTTGTTACCTAATGTCCAATAAATATTTAACTGGATCGGTTCAATGGTCCAGTGGACAAATACAAAAAAAAGTCCAGTGGTCAAACCTCAAGTGCAATCGTCAAATACAAAGTCGAATGGTCAAAGTTGGAAAACAAATTGAGTAACGCCAGCAATTTTTGTTAGATGTGGATAATATTTGATATGTATTTATTTTCACCTTCAAATCTGGCAGTGGTAAGTTTCCTGTCATGTCGTTTGGATTGGACGAGAACCGTTCAAGGTCTAGCGGGGATAAGTTTCTAGGCATGTCGTTCGAATTGGGCGAGAAACCGGGATAGGTTTCCAGGTATGTCATTCGGAAGGGCCGAGAAACCGTTCAAGGTCTGGCAGGGATACGTTTCTAGTCCTGTCGTTTAGATGTGTCGAGAAACTGTCTGGCAGGGTTAAGCTTCTAGTCATGTCTTTTGAATGGGACGAGAAACAGTTCAAGATCTGACAAGGATAACTTTCTAGTCATGTCGTTTGGATAGGACGAGAAACCGACAGTACATTAAAGATCTCGTGAAAGTTGTAATTCGAAGTAAGATTTGACTACATACCCATTCTGTCGTGTATGGCCGTCTATATTAGGGTTTGGGTGGTCGAGCGTCTAACGCATAGGCTTTAGATCATAAATGGCGATGGATGAGAAGGGCGTCCTGCCCAACATCGTGGATTTTCTCCGATCTCCGGATACTTCAGTTTGAAATGAAATTGTACTATATGTTAGTCCCGAAATGACATGATTTGTGTCGAATTAACGTTGTTCACCCCACTCACTTCTCTATCTCTTTTGTTTTTTGTATTTAGCATTCGCCATTCGCTTAAGTAACTCATTTGCTGGTGATGTTCAAGTGAGACGGTTTGGCCAGTGGGGCAATGTTGTAAATGTAAATTTGTCAGGGAGCTCACGCATTGTAAATGTTAGCTGTAGAAACCTTGGGTTCACTGGAGGATTATTGTACAAAAGAAGTAAGTTAACTACATTAACAGCTTTATGTATGCTTAGCGAAGCGGGGCACCTGGCCCCTTTCAATTTTAAACATACTCTAACACATGTATGATATCCTTACCATACTGTTACAAAACTCCAAAATTTAGAAATAAAACATTACATTATGAAATAGGTACAATGATTAACTTAACGATATATACTTAAGGATTCAGCTTGGCTGTAGTTAGTACTGGGTGTCTATTATAATAGAAACATTACATTATGAAATAGGTACAATGATTAACTTAACTTAACGATATATACTTAAGGATTCAGCTTGGCTGTAGTTAGTACTGGGTGTCTATCATAATGGGGAAGGAGAATAATGTTTCTTTAATTAGGATACTTGACGGATAGTCAAATCGACAATCACCTTACCCTGAATTGGTCATACTCAACTAAATATCAGATCATCCAATTCTGATTTGTCAGAGTAGATAGGCTGTTAAACGCACACTAATTCGGAATTGGGCGTGCTCCACTGCAAATGATAACATATATTTCAGACGGAGTACTCAAAGATAAATCTCGTGTACCATTTTGGGCATCGTCTATCACTTGTACTGGAAGAGAAAGCAGATTAGATCAGTGTGATATAACATGGGGCGAACCTGTTCATAGAACCACATCTCCTGTTGAAGCTGTTTGTTACGGGGCAGGTAATTAGATAATAACTTATACTATATTTAAGATAAGGGTGTTCGTTTGCTGGATGTATATTCTTCAATGTTATCGTCTAGGACAGAGGTCCTGGCAGTGGTCAACGTACAGTCGTTCGAATTGGACGACAAATTGAAACTGATTTCAGGTGTACATATTGGCGTGCACGGACAAGTAGACTTGGCCGTTGGAATTCGATACAAGAGAAGGCTGCAATAGGCCGATTTAGCTCTTGCATAATGTATCTTTAAGGAACTGAAAGGAGTATTACAAATATCAATCAATTTTTTGGAATAATATTCTATCCCTCAAACGACGATCATTGTCCTATAAATATAAAACAACCATATTGACTTTCATCCAAAATTATCTATTTAGAGCCACCTCGTCTGGAATTGGTAAATGGTACATCAACCTATGGCCGAGTAGAACTGATCGTGAATGGAGTTCGTGGAAGAATATGTGCAAGAGTTGGCATTGAGAATTATGCTACCACTGTCTGCCGACAACTTGGTTTCGCTCAAGGATCTGCTCTGCCCACAGGGCAGTTCGGCCAGGGTAATGGTCCGGTGTTCCTTGAAACCACAGACTGTTTAAAATCTTCAATTTTCGAATGCAGTTATCTCTATAAATGGTCAGAGTTGGGTGATTTTTGTTCAGTTTATTCAAGGGACTTGACTGTCAGCTGTCGCAGGGATGGTAAGTGACGCGGGAATCGTTGGTCACGTTTTCAAAAGCTAATTTTGTAAGAATGTATAATTATCATTTTCGGATATTCAGTGTGCCATGTCGTTCGGATGGGACGAAAAACCACGAACTACCGGGGCACACATTGTCGTGAACGTCAAACAACTCCTTGCTATATGAATTTGTGGACGAGTCTTGATTCTCAAAATAACCAAAGTATTGTGGTAATAAGATATTAAACTCTCCCATGACTGGCATTTATCTGACATTAAACTCTCCCATGACTGGCATTTGTCTGACATTGAACTCTACCATGACTGACATTTATCTGACATTGAACTCTATTCCATTACAAACACATCTATAGATATTCGCATGACTGTTGTTGTCTAATGCCTAGATCCCACTTGGCATTTTTGCCTCGGTAATGTACTACCGATGGGAATTGATTAGCCTGTTTACCTAACAATGCAAGCTTTGAAATTTTTCTCTGTTCTCCCGAGGCCTGCCGATGGTTTCACGTGGCTCGCGATGTCCCCGGAGTTTCCCTTTGACGCCGTGGAACCTGCCCCCCCCCCCCCGTAACTTTAGGACACTCTTCACAAAATGCCTAAATTCGAGTACGATCGACATGAAATTGACATGCCTGTTCTTTCGACAATTGCGCATTATTTGATGTTACGGTTCTGGTTTATTTTTCAGTAATACTTGAAGGTGGATCTGATTCCATCGGTATTGTTACCACCTTTATCGGAAGAAACCTGTACGATGTTTGTGGAACCAATTTCAACACTGTGGAAGCGGTCGTCGTTTGTAGACATTTAGGGTTTAATCAAGGTCGAGTTCTACCACAAGGTACCTTTGGAAGTGATAGCAGGCCTAAGGACAATAGATATTATCTTTGTTCTGGCAATGAAACGTCTTTGCTGAAATGTAACAATCGCTATCAATATTGTAGAGGTGCTGTAAATTATGCAGCGGTTCATTGTTTTAATGATATAGCAAGCACGGGTAAGTTTAAGTAAGCGAATAGTTAGCGCGTGCGTGCTGTATCATAAGGTCTGTCATTGAGTCAATTGGTGTGTTTTCGATTCCCCGGTTGTACGTGACAAGGAATAGGGTCGCCTACCTAACCTCGTGGGTCCCCCCCACCACTGCTAAAGACCCCTGCGCGCAAGCGAATTATTGAAATAAAATTGAACAATATGTTAGTCCCGAAAAGACCTAGTTTGTGTTGAGTGGACGTTAAACCCCATTTCTCTATCTCGCTGAGGTCCAGGTCCAAATCATTGTGTTGGTGTGGTAATCGACCAGTCAGGACCTCGACTAGAGTGTTCGGTTCGAGTAGAACTCTTGGGATTTTTCAAGTCCAGCTTCAATTATCAGTGATGACGGCTGGGAGTCTAACAAGGAAAGGGTCCCTAGCCATTTGGATAAGACCAAAAGACCGAGGTCCATCTGTGTATACATTGGCGCGAAAGTAAAATCATCCTTTACGGTTGGAAATCGAAGAAAATTAGGCATAACAATTAGCCATTGGAAGTCCACTCGCGGAAGTATTCATTGGTGCGAACATAAAATAATCCTTGACAGATATCGAAAAAAGATAGGCGAAATCGGAACCATAGAGAGAAAAATAGAGATAAAAATATGTTTGTCTCAAACCTCCCCCTTGTCAGTGGTACAGGAAGGGGGGCCTGACAAGGACAGCTGTTTAGTCGTTCCGATGGGACGAAAAACCTTGGCCCCGTGTATACATTGGCGTGCACGTAAAAGATCCCTTGGCAGTTGAAATTCGATATTAGTGTAGGCCGTAGTGCCGCTGTCCGGGCAAAATTTCCCTCATAGCACACTGTATGGCGTATGCCCGTCTTCATTAGCCAAGTTCGGGTGTCGGACACGAAAAAGTGTACCTGGTTATTTTATGCCAGTTCTCATTCATATTAAAAATAATAAATTAAAATATAACCATGTGTCAGTCTAAATGTGACCCAGATTTTTTCTTTTTTCATTGGTCCTTTATATTTTAAGGGGGTTGGGTGGCTGAATGGTTAGCGTGTGCACGCTGTATCATAAAGTCTGTCATTGAGTCAACTGGCGTGGTTTCGAATCCCCGGTTGTACGTGACAAGGAGTAGGGTCGCCTGTCCAACCACGTGGGTTTTCTCCTAGTCCCCCGGTTTCCTCCCACTGCTAAATAATTGAAATAAAAATTAAAACCAAGCGAATTATTGAAATAAAATTGAACAATATGTTAGTCCCGAAAAGACCTAGTTTGTGTTGAGTGGACTAAATAATTGAAATAAAAATTAAAACCATATGTTAGTCCCCATTTTTCTCTCTCTCTCTTTGTATTTTACATTTTCTTTCAGTTTCAGAAAAATCGTTAAAACTGCAAACAATCGGATTTGTTCAAAATACGGGTCAAGTTTTGATCAATGAAAGTGGATTGGAGGGGTCAATTTGTGACGAATTTTTCGGCAAACCGGAAGCAACTGTTGTCTGTAGACAACTTGGGTATAGGCACGGAATAGAATTGAAATTACCTTCACCGACAAATGTAATGTACATTATTCAAGACCTCGCCTGCTTTGGAAACGAATCGAACATATTTAATTGTTCTACAGGGACGGAAGTGTGTCCCTACGGTGCTGGACCTGCTGGTGTCTTCTGCTACAACAACCAAGGTACTATATCATACCAATATAAAAAGTGAATGTTGATATCATGTTTTCTTACTGATGATGGCGGTGCGTAAGCTAATAATTGCGATTTTAAGTCTTTACTTAAAAGATACATTATGTGGGATTAGATAAAGAGTTGGCAGTTCCCACTTTAATAGTTAAAAACTAAATAATGTAAAGGGAATTTGCTGACAATTTCAGTCAAATTGATCCATTCTGAACCGAAATTTTAGCGATTGAGTTTTCAGCCTAGCCGCGATCCTCATTACTAAAGTCGGTACGAAAAGAACATAGTCCCGATTATCCATTTCATGATTAAATTATGAATGGAAGTCGAACAGCAAATCGGAACTAATACAATAAACATCACAGGCTAGCGATGACATCGAGAGTTGATTATGGTCTGGATAAGTTAATTAATATCTAATGAATAGTTTATATAACATTTCAGACCTAAAGAAATACCCGCAATAGGCAGATTTAACTCTTGCATAATGTATGTATGATTTAATGGTCGAGAGCGAGACATTAAGTAATATATAAGACAAGTAAAACGAAACATTGAACTATAAAAAACAAAACGAAATATGATGAATGTTTTAATCAGAATAAGGAATAAGTAATTTGATTGCTTGATACGTTATTATTTGATTGTTATACTTGATTTTTATAATCATCTGTTTTAATATAGCACCTGTTCTGAGGTTTAAAGGTGGAGGTACTAGTGGTATTCTCGAGATTGTGGATGGAACAGATGTCGGTAACGTGTGTATAGGACGACGGTCAACAAGAACAGCCATAACATTATGTAAAATATTAGGTTATCAAACCGGCAGCATGATTGGGTACAGTATTAGTTCATATAACCGAAACGAAAAATAAAGAAGATTTTCCAGACTGCTTACCACTTGTTTGTGGGGCAGGATTGGAGAGTCGGGGTATATATATTGACATGTGGAATTCGAAGAAGAGGGGTCGGAAACGTAAATTTACCATCACAGCACACTTTACTGCCCATGACCGTCTTCATTGCCTTGGTTGGCATAGGCCATGTCCATGTCTTCTGTCATCTTGGATCTAATTGACTAACATCAACTAGAGTAACACTGTTTGTACTTTATTGTCATGGGAACGCCAGTTACTACCAATTATTACACTAACTTGTAATTGTTTAAAATCATCTAATACAATTTCTTTCAAAACCTTGCTTCAAGTTTTGCCTGTAGGGTTCTGCAGATGGTGGCGTATTGTAGTTGTGTGAACGTTGGTAGGGTATTATACCGCTTTAATTCAAAAGGTCTGCCATTGAGTCAAAAGGCGAGTTTCTATACCACGTGTAAGCAATAAGGAGTTATCGGGCTTGCCTCGTGGGATTGCACAGGGCCTACCAACTTCTCTCATCCCCATCGTTAAACCATTGCCATTACAAGCTAATTATTAAAACAGGAAGTACTTTATATTAGTCCCGAAATTACCTAGTTTGTATTGAATGCAACTAGTTTGAACTCTCGTCCCTTCTAGGAATGGTCCTGGAATCTGGACCAGTGATGCAGTGTTTTTGGATGGGGTATCCTGTTCGGGTAGTGAAGAATCTATATTCCAGTGCGCTAACTCTGGATGGAAACCCAACCACCAATATGGATGTAATACGTTCCCAATCAAGTGTGAAAGAGGAGGTAGGTGACATTAAAGGACCAGCAAGTCAGTAACACTTACACAGCCACACCATTAAACCACCAGTAGTAAGACCATACACGACCATCATACAATTAAACCACCAGTAGTAAGACCATACACGACCATCACACAATTAAACCACCAGTAGAAAGACCATACACGAACATCACACAATTAAACCACCAGTAGTAAGACCATACACGACCATCACACAATTAAACCACCAGTAATAAGACCATCACACAATTAAACCACCAGTAGTAAGACCATACACGACCATCGCACAATTAAGCCACCAGTAATAAAACCATACACGACAATCACACAATTAAACCACCAGTAGTAAGACCATACACGACCATCATACAAATAAACCACATGCTGCTACCTCAGGTCTATGATGGAGTCAACTGCCGTGGTTTCGATTCCTCGGTTGTACGTGAATAGGGCTGCCTGTCAAACCTCGTGGGTTTTCTCCGGGTTCTCATGTTTCCCCCCACTGCAAGCGTATTATTGAAATAAAATTGAACCATATGTTAGTCCCGAAATGACCTAGTTTGGTCTTCAGGTCTCCTCATATAATAGTCCCGAAATCCCAAAATCTCTCTTTCTCTCTCCCTCTCTCCCCCCTCTCTCTCTCTCTCTCTCTCTCTCTCTCTCTCGCATGGTTAGATCAGCAGACAAAATTCTTATTACTAACGGAATAAGATATCTTTCAGGTCATTCACTGTATACAAACCTGTCTGACATTATTATTTATTTGTTTTTAAGTTAGATTAAGTAACAACGGTGATACGAATGTAATGGCTGGTCGAGTAGAAGTATACGACAACCAAGATTGGAAACCTATCTGTCGAGGCCTGGATGATCGAGCTGGTGAAGTCATTTGTAGGGAACTAGCTAGCCCTTATTATAAGGTAGTCTTTACTATTTGTAAATAGAATGATTGAATGAAGCGGGGTCTTCATCAATCGTAAGTTGTGTTACCAGCAGCTAGCTTTAAATACTGTATGGTTTTATGTAACATCCTTCATGTTGTGAATATATAATATAAATGAATACGACCCTAACATGTACCCTTGGCGTACACCAGTGTGAATGTATTCCCCATTCGACTGACATTCAGACGAAAACAGCTCATTTAATAAATATAATTATTCTACTATTCTGTTTGCTTTTTATACCAAAACTATAAATGAGTATATTCACCAAAATTGCGTTTGTAGCTAACTATAAAGTTCTCTGTTTTATAACAGGGGTTATAGAGCATCAGTCTAGATAAAGATCTGGATACTCTTGCTATAATAGTTCAAAACTAGATACTAAAAATGAATAATAAATATTGAAAATTTCATTCAAATTACTTTATTCTGGGAACAGTTTAAAGATGTAGCGTAGATCGTTTGTTATCGTAGCAACGGTCCTGGACAAACGAGATTAAGTTTATCATTAAATCTTTAAATCTCCTGTGCGTTCTAATTCATTCAAATCTCTGTGGGCGGCCCGGTGGTCTTGGGGGGGGGGTGTTGATTATAAACTTATCTAAATAATAATTTATATATGCTCATCAGACACAATAAAGACCTGCAGTGGACCGATTTAGCTCTTACATAATGCATCTTTAATAAACTGGTAGAGGAGTTTACGATTCATAATCAGAGATACCCTCCCATTTCGCCTACGCCCCACTTCAACTACAGCTTATAACAACAGATTATACGGTCTAGTGGTTTTATTATCCCTCCTTATGTACCTTCTCCATAGCTAAAATAGATTCTTCCATAAAACATTTGAGACATTTCGAACGTATGGTACATTTTCCACTGATTAGTTGGGGGTCAGAATTTGTAGTCGAAATGGGGTGTATTCGAAATGGCACGTGGTCGAAATGGAAGTGAACCTAATCCAATATGAACACTGTCCACTTTTATTTTCAGGTGTTAGAAGAAAGGATATTTGGTTCAACTTACGTAAGATATGGTATAAATAATGTCGTATGTAATGGAAGTGAATTGAATTTATCTGAATGTACCTACACTGGTGGTGGTTGTTACCTCGGTGTCTCATCTTTATTATGTAGCACACATCCTATTGGCACAGGTATATATCTTATTCCACGTAAAACTTGATGTAGGTACAAAAATATGTCAAATACCTTTACAACTGATACAATACAGCAACCAATCTCAACTTTATTATTGTACATAGCATCACATTAGATCGAAGTTATGGCAGTGGATCAAGTGGCGTGGCTTCGATACCAGGATTAGAGTAGCCTGTCTATAACCTCATGGATTTTTCTCAAAGTACTCCGATTTCCCCCTACTGTTAAAGATCTCTACTTATATATCTAGGGTACTGTAAATATGGTCTGCTCTATAACCAGAACTTATAGATTTCGGTATAATGATTTACTGAGATTGTTTCAGATAAATTAACTTTTACTTATTATGGAAGGGTGTTGGGTGGTCTAGTGGTTTAACCCGTGGGTGTGTAATTACAAGGGCTTTCATTGAGTCAAGTGGAGGGGTTTCGATTCTCCACTTGTACGTGACAAGGAGTAGGGTTGTCTGTCCAAGCTCTTGAGTTTTCTCCGGGTCCTCGGGTTTTCTCCCACTGCTAAAGACCCTCCGGTTTCCTCCCATTTCTAACGACCCCTATGCGCAAGCGAATTATTGAAATAACCATACCTTAATACCTAAAATGACCTAGTTTGTGTCCAGTGGACGTGAAAAGAATTATTGAAATTGAGCTAATTATGAAGGAATTCTTAATTACAGATGTCAGTGTTAATACAGCAGAAGAAGGCTTTAATCCAAGTATTACCATCTATAACACCGCAGGTTCTGTTTGTTCTGATGGCTGGGATGATAATGACGCTAGTGTCTTTTGTAGACAGAGTGGCTTTCAGTACGGGAGACGAATTGGTGTTGTCAAGGCATATAACTCAACATACAAGCCTAGACTTGCCGTTGACTTCCGGTGTAATGGATCAGAACTGAACTTGAATGAATGTCCCTTCAGCTCAACGGGACTACTCCCCTGCCAGAGCAGCGACAAGGCAGCTAATGCCATATGCTCTAATCGTTCTATAGGTTAGTGTCTCTATCTTTCTTATGACCAGGGGGTGGGGAAGGGGGCACGGTAGCTTATTGAGTAAGACTTTGCTCTCTAACGGGTAGGTCCACTGATGCTCGATAGAGGGTTTTGGAAGGGACAATGCGTAGTCATTTACATGGAACGAGACACAGAGGTCACGTAAACACATTAGTGTTCATGTAAAAGATCCTTGGCACATGAAATTCGATATACGAGTAGGGCGTAGCGCCGCTGTCCGGTGGGAACTTTCCCCCATAGCAAAACTGTATGGTGTATGTCCGTCTTCATTAACCCAGTTCGGAGCAGAACAGTAGGACGTTAGACCCCATTTCATTTCATTTTCATTTTCATTTCATTTCATTTCAGTACTCGTGTAGGACTTGGAGCATAACCCTCCATGGTGTGGGTAACGTGCATTATAATAAACATACACATTATTATCAACGCAGAGCAGTGGGACGTTAAATCACATTTTTTTTCTAATGACCATTTTAGTTAAATTGGTTTCCGATGTTAGATTCATGTTTTTCGACGGTATTGTTAATCTCCCAATATGAGATCATGGAGTTGCATAGAATTGTACACAGAATTAAACAACAAAATTCTCATGGCGAAAACGAACCACCAAATTCCACAAGAAGTTGTAATCTGGTTTTCACGTGTCAGTTCTGCAGTGAATGGGAGGCGCGAAGGAAAATAGAACCTATTCGTTTGGATGGCACAGACATCTTAGGTCCATCAGTGAACTTTCTGGTTTGCACGTAAAAGAACAGAGTTGGAATGCGATGAAGAATAGGGAACAAAACTCTCCGGGTAACATTTCCACCATTGCATAAACTCTAGTTATTTACCTTTTTATCTTTTATAGAATATCAGATAAGACTTAAACCAGGAAACCATAGTGCAAACAAGGGATCAGT